TTCTCTTGAGTGAGAGGAGGGATGCGCTTGGAGTAATCCTTGGATCCAGTGTCTTCGTTCATTTTGAAGGTTCTGCAAGTAGAAAGCTTGCGTCGATGACCTAGGCGTGATTGATGGTGGAATGAAAGAGTGGAAGAGGAACTGTTTAAGACTGCGCTGTCCCGATTGGGATGTACTAGTGTTTGAAGGGAGAAATTCTCTTCAAGGCGGGGTAATTAAGAATAGTGAATTTTGATTTGTAGATAATGATTTTTGAAGTGATATCGAACACTATGTAGCAGGTGATGCTCTTCAGCGTTAAGCTGGAATGAATGGTCTTTTCAGTAATAACTCGTAGTTTTCTTACTTGAGGAAAAGGCGCGATGTAAGTGGTTACTTCGCTGTCGCTGCTCAGCAATCTGTTTGCTGTGCGCACCTCGTATGTTGACGTCGCGTTGCGTAGGAGCTTCTCGTCGTCAACCTCTCCTTTGGCAACGTAAGCTATTCAAAGAGCTTTCGGCCTTAGTCTTACTGCAGAGCTACCGGGCTCATAACCTGTTCACAATAAAGGAGCAGGCCAGTGGAATGCATGTATTATTGACTATGTAGATTAATTGTACTAAGGTAAAATCTAACTACGAAGTGGAAGTGATATATGCACAGTAGCTTAGAGCACGTGCCACAACTTCCAACAAATAACATTATATTTTATAGAACCAAAGCGAATATACTTTTCATAATATTTGGATTCAGGAAATATATGGTATTACAAATCATTCTTTTTATAACAAGAATAAGGCATTATAATATTTCCTTTATCTTTGATTTTTTAGTTTAGACAATGACAATTAAGTATTGAGTAAGAATTATTAGTAATAGATATAATAAAAGGAAATAAAGAATTATTATGATATGGCTATGTGGGGAATACATGATTATATAACGCTCGGGATAAGCACTAGGATAAGAAGGGGATAATGTTACGAACGATGTAATATAGACACGGGACTAGGGTATTAAGTCACATGGTTAGCTTAGTCTGCCTTAGTGGGATAGATTCTAAACCATGAAAGTATAAATAAATTAGTACTAAACCGTACTAATCACACTAAACAAAAAGGTCTATATAAGGAAATAGATTTCATTACAATATAGAGCTTTGTGCTTAAGAATAATCATTAGTTTTATTATTATAATTATAAGAATTACAATTAGTTATTAATCTTATTGAATTCCTATTTGAAGTTTAGTTTAAATCATCTCAAGAGATTTCTAAACATTTCCATGTGACCCTATGTTACGGGAGCTGCCTCTAGGGTCACGTGGAAGTGTCTAGAGATCTCTCGAGGTGGTTTAGACTAGACTTCAAGTAGGAATTCAATAAGGTTGTAACTGGTTGCAATTCTCGTAACTATAGTATGAAACTAATGATTGATCTTGAGCACGAAGCTCTACATTGTAATGAAACCCATTCCCTTATATAGATCTTCGTCCTACTTGGACAGCTGGGACAGCCGGGCGCTCCTGGAGCGCTGTCGTTCCTGAGCTGTCCATCACGGGACACTAATCCCGTGACTCTTGGTGTCCTAGCTTATTCTTTTGTCCTGGGGCTAATCCCCTGGGACATTACTAATCCTAGTGAAGCCTTCTTGCTTACTGTGTTCTGTCTTTCCTAGGACCTATTGTCCTGGGAACTATGTCCTATGTTTCTAGGGTATCCTATGACTAATACTATATACGTGCCTGAGGCTCTCCTGGGTGCCTAGCGTCCCCCGGTATACTGCAGCTGAATCACCGAGGCTTATAGTACCATTATAGCCTATACGTTGGTGATTCTACAGCCTGTTACTAATCCGTTGTAACACCCTAGAGGCAGCTCCCGTAACACTTCTTTACCTTAATTACAATTTTATATTATATTGTTGATTTCTATATTTATAAAGGAGGTATACTATTCTTCACTTTTAATAAAGGATTTTAAACTAGATATCCTATATCATCAATATTATTCGTATTCAACTCTTCTTAGTACATATTATATCTCACAAATGCCTTAAACATATTATTATAATTATTTTTATACTAATCAAATATCATTGTTTTTTATAATCAATCTATTTTAGAATTATATACCTTTAACCATAACATCCTTAAGATAATTTATTATTAATTTAATAATATAATATTAAGCTATATAATCTTTAAATATTAAATTATATTTATTTATACTAATTATATTTTTTAAGAAACATTTTTGTTAAATCCTACTAGCTATTTATTAATTAACTATAATTAATAAGAGTTTTATTTCCTTTAAAATAAAACTCTTAAGTACTTTATAACTTCTAATGTAATAAAATTTCCTATAATCCCTGAATCTATTATAACTTATTATATTTATTCGTTTATTTTGATTTTATAATATATTTATTCTGCTTATTCTATAGTATTCAATTGTAATATAATTTGCTTATTTTCGTTATTCTAAATGATCTTATCAGCAAATATTATACATCAAAACTCTTTCTCTTTTAAATAAACAGCGCTTGTCCTTAATTTAGCTTTGTTATTAAGTAAGTCCCTTTATAGAGTGTATCAGTAATTCCCTTGAATAACTTTCATTATCGTATTCATAACTGGTGATGGTAATATGGCTTAAGCCTGGACCTGGTATTCTTTCCCTATTCTTCTGTATAAAAATAAAACTTGATCCTTATTTCTTTCAGATATGTAATAATAAAATACTTCCCATAGCTCTCCTCTATCTAATCACTAGAAATAATCAGTATTAATTCTTTCTATAAATGATATATTTGTAATGATTCCAAACCATAGAATTCGATGCTGATCGATATACCGAACCTCATACGATTCGCCTTCTTCAACGTTTGTTACGCTGAGGTTTTTATTCATAGTCCCTTTATCTGTATTTCCAAATTTCCAAATATAATAATTCTATTAGTCAATTTCCTAAATAGATTATAATTCTTCTAATTGTAGGTCTTTGTTTACTCATAAAAGGCATTCAACCTCTTCTTCTTTGTCGAGCTCTCCTTTATAAGCTGATGGTAATGTGACTAGCCCTGTTACATTAACAACACACAATTGTAATGTGAAGATGATATTAAGTTAGTTCTTATCAAACTTATTCTTAAAGTTGCTCTTTTTACCCTTTGTTTTCTTACTTCAATATTTTGCTATTTAATACCCTGTTTTTCTACATTCGAAATATAAGTTATTTTCTCGTCTTTGTTTCCTTTTTGAATTATCATTTCTATTTGTATAATATATAGTATTTAATTTTATAGGATTTCTATATCTTTATGGATTATAATATAATCTATTCTCATTCTTGTAATAACATTCTTGCTTTTGATTTCCCTAAGGTTTATATAATCTTTAACTTTATTAATATTAATAAAAATAATCATTTAATTTAATAAAGTTCTAAATTAGATTATTTAAGTTTATATTCTTAACAAATCTTTTTAATTCTAATCTAATTTCTAATTTGAATCCTTTATAATAATAACTTATGATAATGATTTCGTTCTATTTAATTGTTTTTATATATTTTTGGAATTTTATAATATACTTCAATATTAATTCTATCTATTTGAAATTGAAGATCTTATTTTTTATTATCTCTAGTTTATTGAAGTTCTTAAAGATTCTATAAATCTTTATCTTAAATTCTTCAAAACTATTAAAGATTATTTGAGTAGGTTATATACAATTCTAATTATTATGCTCAAAATAGTTGTGTAGGTATGATTGAATTCATTTGTTTGTTTTACCTTTGAGGTATAATATGGTTCAAATACTTTTAGATTTCTTTTCAATAAACTTGTTTTGATTGAATCTAAAATAGATTTCGAGTTATAATAGAAAGGTATTGAATTCCTATTGATTTCCTTAATATTTATTTAGTAAGGTAATTTTAAGTGTTTCATTAATAATAATTTTCTTAAGAGTATTAATTATTTTAATATTATTGAAGTTATTTACTAGAGCTTATTAGTTTCTAGAAAAACTATTGGCTACTATACTAATGATTAATATTGAATTGGTACTTAAAACAGAAAGAATGCTCAAAGTGTTATAGAAGCTATCTTTAAGATCATATAAAAGTGTTTAAAGATTTCTTAAAGTAATTTAAATTAAATTTCAAATAGGAATTCAATAAGATTATAATTAATTACAATTCTTGTAATTATAATAATGAAATTAATAATTATTCTTGAGTATAAAGCTTTATATATAAAGAAACCCTATTCCTTATATAGACCTTTGTTCTCTGTTGTTCTATTAATTCTATTGTGTCCTATTAGATAGGAGCAGTGGGATCCAGTGGGAATCTCTAATCTCGTGACTTCCTGATCAGGTGACTCGGTATGTTGGATGCCGTCGTAACACTAAAATCAAATGAAAATGAAAATTAGACATGTAACAATATCAATCATTCTTTATTATATGATATTATTCTTATTTAAATCAAAGTTTAATTAACGAAGTTATTATGAATTGAAATATCAAAATTTAATATTTAGGTGTTTTTGATGAGGTATAGAAAAGTTATGTTTTAAAAGCTAGTTAAGAAATTGAGTTTATTGAAACGTTATTAATCCCACATGTTATGTTCATAATTTTCAATGCCTTCAATTTATCAATGCATCAGTATACTGATCCTAATATTTCGTTTTCCAAAAACTTTCATTCGATTTTCGTATTAAGCTTTTAGTAAATTTAGCCGATCAAATTTTAGTTTCGTGAACTAAGAACGAATGGCACACAACGTGACAGACCTAGTCATTGCTAGTTCAGTCCATATAGAAATCTCCACTTTTTGATTTCGTATATATAACTAGATCTTTCTCAAGACAATCATTTTGAAAATTGCATTCCAACACCGATTCCATAGTATCATCTTAAGGCCTACAATCCATTCATTAAAATCCTCTAATCAATACTACACAATCGCAATCTGTAGTTCTCGCAAGGTTATTGAACTAGATTGAAACATGCGCGACCAAACTCTCTTAGAAGCTGGATATGATGTAGCTAAATTTATTGCTCGTCAAAAGTACATGGAATTAAGGGGTGGAGAGCTCCAGGCAATATTGGATCAATGTACAGATCCAGCTGGCACTTTTGCCAAACGACATAATAAATGGTTGGAAAATAGTATAAGCATTTCTGAGAATTGGAAAGGCATGGTTAAGCTCCCAGAAAACCAGATTTCTAGCGGAGCATTCGTGGATGCGCATCGAAGCTCACCAGAAATGGCCAAAATGCTCAAGGAAAGTGCCGAGGCAGGAGTCGAGGTAGAGGCTGAGATTGATCAAGGTGATGATGTTTCTGATGGTCAATCGATTGAACAAGTGATAAGTGAAAATCTGTATGCAGAGTACGAGCGTAATCAGGAACATTTTCGTTTCATTTTGGAAGAAACACATCATCGCAAAGCTGCAAAAACCCAGCTTTGGCTCTGGGTGTCAAATGATATTGAACGTTTCAGGGCAGAATTGCGAAGGGACATTGCGAAAAATGGCGGCGACCCTGGTCGTGAAACCATGCTCGGATTCTTCGAAGAATGGTCGGCTTGGAATGACATGATCATCGGAAATGGTTGTAAATTGTTTCGAACAGCGCGTCATCCTGAGTGTTACTTGATCTTCTCGACTCTTCAGTTTGCAATCAAAGACATGGAACATCGCCTGAGCATCATTGGAGAAGCTCATTTATATGGCGAGGATGGCGACCGTGCGGCTGCGGATCAAGCATATCGGACCTACCCAAATCCTGAAGACCCTGCGGCTTCTGATATAGTATTTGCCCAGGAAATCGCGAGGCACTTGACGCTACCATAAATTCTGGATGAATAGCGAGGTGAGTTAGATCCTGCACCATCGGTTACATGCGTTCCCACGCACCTCTCTAACGTCTTACAGGGATAAAAAGGTGTCGAGGGCCGGAAATGAACCTTTTGGGAACTTTTCTGGCAGACAGCGAGACAGTGGAGCGGAGCAGTAAAGACTCGCCTCGAGGGTCCGAGTATCTCATTCAAAGTAAGAAGAGTCGTCGAGTACGTCAAATGATACACCAAGCCTTATGTAGCCTGTTCCGGATACTTCAGAATTAGAATTGTGGTATATGAAGCAAGTGGTTCGGGGGAATATAAATTCTTAACGATTTGACAGACAATTTTGTGGTCGCTAAACCCACGAGACGAATCTGAAGCGAGCAACGGGATCATCGGAGAGTCAAGTTTATGAAATTTTGAATCTGTTGAGATGATAACAAATGTAATTGTTAAGTACATAATAGCATCTATCTCCTAAAGTACAAATTACAATATGAAAATGTGATCATTTCATCCGAATCTGAGACCAAGATCGATTTGTAAGATACCAAAAACTATGTATCGAAAGATGGTTTTCATAACAGTATCGAAGATACACTCATAATCCCTTAGCAATAGTTTGTAGAATTATTTCAATCGTTGTCAATTTTAGTATTATTAGCTATGTGAGACTCAAATCAACTTAAGTTTCACAGTTCAATTGCGTATATCAACTCTGGGATTTCAATCTACATATTGAAGCTTATAGTCCGCTGGACCTCTTGAGTTCTTAGCAGATTTAATGGCTCTCTCCCAGGACTCTTTCAGCGTTTCGACTCTCTTCTTTATTTCTTGCAATGCTTCCTTTTTAAGTTTCACTTCCACTATCTCCAGTTCTATTTCTTCGATTTTGGTTTCCAGTCTTGCCTTCCTAATTGTCTTTTCATCCTGCTCTAGCCCCATCCCTTCATCTCTTCTTTCCTTGCTTTCCGAATCTATCTCATCAGTTTTTGGAGTACCCTTCACAATTTTTTTCCAAATCCTAAATCTGATGTCTCATGTTGAGATACTCCTGCTGGTGTATTTCTATCCAGTTTAGTATATTCTGATCACCTTCGCCTGCTACATGAGAATCTCCTGGACTCCTTTCCACAAGTTGTACCCATGTTTCCATCTTTTCTAGAAGTAAGCCTAATAAATCATTTGTTGCTTCGTTTCCTGCCGTAGGGGTATGAATGTCATTTTCTCCAAGCGTATCGTATATTTGTGCCTCCGGCATGTCTAGTGGTTGAGACACGAGTCAATGATAAAATCAAACGCTGAATTAGGAAGGGTCAATCGACAACACTGGAACGTAGATAACGAAAATATTGAAACAGTGAATCACTCAACCCAAGATTCGAGAAGTTTATCTTGCCAGGGCAGACTGAAATTTATTTCAATCATTCTTTTATAATTGTCGCATGGGATGGAAAGCAAACGAGGATATCCTTTGGGTTGAAGTTTGTACGAGATTGTAAACAGAATGTGTCTGTCATTCTTATTTGTAGATGGGTCATGCGGTGGTTTCAATGTATATAAAATAATACTTGCTGACCTGTAGTCACTCATATCTGTATGTCATTCCATGATTACACTCAAGGGGTCTCAAGCCCAGTCATACGACGAGCTCATGATACCTATCTTCGGTTTTCCAACCCCTGTTTGTATATTGTTCACGTTACGATTTCGTCTTCGTGTATAGCATCACTCAATCACAGTATATGGATAGTCTTTAGAATACTTTATGATGTTCAGGTATTCGTACCAATACCATGATGATTGACAATTTGATACTGTAACAAATCTCGCCACAAAGTGAGAATCCGTGGTAATCTACTTTTTTTATGCTCCCTTGCAAAGCGAAGTTTTCCTAATAATAGATTTAAGGCGTCAGGCTCCCAGAGCCAGCTTCACTAACGTCCCAATCCTCTTCATGTAATCAATCTAGCCAGCTAGCTTTCGCCTTCTGTCGCTTCTGTCGCTTCTGTCTCTTCTGTCTCTTCTATTTCTTGCTGAAGTAGTTGACTTTCCTCATCCGACTCATCCGACTCAGGAATTCTCGAATCTGCTAACTCAAATGCCGCAGCGTGCCATACCGCCTCCGCATCGTACCACGCTTTTTGGGCCTTTTTTAATGCCTCTTCGGCCTCGATAAATGACTTCTCTGCCTCTTGCAATGCCTCCTCAAGTAACACCTCTTCTGCTTTTAACATTGTCACCTTCTCCTCCCATTTCTCTCTCATGTTGCGGGCCGCTAACTCTATCGCCTCGATTTCTCCAATACTAATCGTTATGTTTTGACGTCCCACGCGCACAGCGAGCTTTTTCTTAAAATCCTCTAAGACATCTATATCTTCCTGCAGCTCGGCTCCAAGTTTCTCTTCCGATATGTTGATTTCAGGTATTTGCTTGGATAAACTAAGTACTGAGTCCCTGAAGATTGGTAGGCATATGAGAGAATTATGCACTTCCAGTTGGACTTGCTCGAGTACCGACCTAAAATACATCTCTTCCATGGTGAGCTGCATGATTAGATGAATTAGATTTGACTATACGATGATTTGGGTCGATTTCAGTGAATGAGGATCAGAGGCTCGAGAGTTAAGAGTTTTGTTGTGCGACGATGGTTGGCAGTAATATTTGCTGATGCTGGAAGAAGGAAAATAGGAGAGAAATAGTCCCGGATCGCTGTATTTATATGAGATGTTTTTTTGAAGACGTAGTAAACAAGAGAGTGATCCTTCATTAACGAAATAAATTCAAAAGAAAACGGGTAAGTAGCAATGGGTTTGCAGGCCGTCAAATTAGCGATTTCCCTTTTAGGGCCAACAATACCTTGCTATTCTTGCCCGTAGTTCCTTCTTCCTCTCCTGCAGGAAGTAAAAATGGGTTTGGCTGGAAGATTGAGTAGTTGCCAGTGGCTGAACCATATTTGGGTGATATAAACCAAAAGTTTCATGTCTGAGTTTGTTTTGTGTCTCCAGCTTCTCTTAATGGCAATCACTAATTCTCGACAGGAAATGAGAGTTCGTTCGATCATCTTCGGCACTCATCATGGGTTCTTATTTCGATGTTTGTGGAAAATTTCGCTCAATCCTCATGCTATGTGCTTGTTTCAATGTCAAAAAGGTATGAGAAATTTCTATTTGTGATCAATTTACTTCATCATGGCGATATTGGAAATAAGTCGCTTGGAAAAAAAGCTTCGACACTCACGAAGTTCTCAACGTCCACTTAAGTAAATCCTTCTCAAGAACATCCTCCTTTCTCTGAAGTAACTCGTCAATATCCCATCTAGCATCCAGAAACCTTCCATTCATCCATTTCAAATCTTTGATGTTTTTACTCAACCATACACAAAAGCCACCACAAAGATCCACGCTATCAACCAAATCTATAACTTTCATCAGTACTCCCGCAACCTCAAAAGTTGGATAGATGAGAAACTTACAAGGCAAGAAAACTTCGGGTGTATTTCCAGCAGCCATCGGCGTTGCAACGGCCCCCGGATGGACAGTAACAGCAAGCAATCCTTCCTCTCCAAATTGAGAACCTATCATCTCTAAAAATCTACTCTGCGCAAATTTACTCACACAATACCCTGTGTTGGCAATGGGACCATCCGTTAAAGTCGCAGCCAACGATCCAATCTGTATGAAACCCTTTGCTCCATTCTCACTCTCCAGCAGCAGAGGTATCAAATAATGCGCACAATTGTAAGTTCCGATCATGTTTATGTCGAAATTTCCTCGAAACCATGACGGGTCACCTTCAGTAACCTTTAGAGTCACGGGGCCGGCATATCCAGAATTGGGAACACAGACATCGAGGCGGCCGAAAGTTTCTTTGATATAATTTGCAAGGTCTGAAATATTGCTGGATGATGCGATATCACACGAAAATATCTCGATTCGTGTTTCCGGGGCGATTTCCCGAATTTTCTCAGCAACGCGAGTAAGTTCGGAGGTGCTGCGGGATGCTAGAATAATACCAGAGGCTCCTGCTTGTGCAAATGAATAAGCGATGTGCTCGCCTATACCAGAGCTAGCCCCTATTATGCAGACGACAAAAGGACTAGGGAGTAGGTTATTGGCTGGAGTGGTGGCAGGCGTGAGTATTTTGTGTCGTGTAGCTGTGATGGTGTTCATCGTTTCGTTTATTTTTAGGACTGATTATGAGGAGTTCTGTTCGATCAATATCATGAGACAAGTTACGGACTTTATATGATCTGGAAATCTAGATTCCATATCTCTGGCATGTCACGACGGTCAGTAGCTGAGCTTTCGACTCATAATGCGCAGGTGGGGATGGGACATTTGATTGGCTGTCCAGCAGTGGGGGTTTTCTGCCCGGTGAGTCAGTAGTGCTTTGGGGTTATCCCCACCCTTCAATAAGTCTTTACCGTCAAAGATTAGTGCTATGGCATGAATGATAATTCCATTGCAGGGTTGTTGATCAGTTCATGGCATGGCATGGCATGTACATGGTTGAATGATGAGAATGTAATGATTCTTAGCTGCATCGATCGGACGAAAAGCCACCAGTGGGTGCACAGACTCACAGGATAACGTGACATAAAAGCGCAATTTCACACTCAAATTTATCAGTTTCAAAATTCAAATGAAATTGGAAATAAAATTTAATATCAATCAAAATTATAAATTGTATTTTTTAAATATTAAAGAATAATTTTTTCAAGTTTTATTATATATAAAAAAGAAATCTGAACTCAAAAAACAAATAGTATACTTTCCTATTAAATTTTTTAATAGGAAATTATATATTCGTTTATAAGAATATTAATATTGATTTTTTCAATTCAATTCTAATACAATATAGAATCTTTATATTTGAGATTCATATGTTCAGTTTTCAAAGAGATTAATCGAAATTCTGAATTTCAATCGAATTTTCAAAATAGCTCTTTTTGATGTGAAATTGTACTCTTCCTCTTGAATGTTCCGTGAGTCTGTGCACCTACTGGTGAGCCGATGTCTCGCTTGAATCGACATTTTGATATAACCAACACTCCGAGCAAATTCGAACTTCTGCCACTTCCCTAGAAAAACCAATCGTTGAAATTCCAGTAATAGACCAATAATGAAGCGTTTTGTTCCTATGAATCTACCCTCGTCCACGATGAACCCTTTAACTCTACTTAGGAGATTAGGTTAGGGCCCAGCAAATATTGAAAAAGTCTCCTCTTTCCTAACATACCGGATAGTATCAGACTCACTTCTTGGCTATAGAGACATGGTATGGGGTCTGAAAAAGGTGCATTGCAATTCCATATCATGTCAAGCTATTTTTCAACCATCAATCGAATTACCAATATGCCGCATATTATCACAGATCAATCCCACATTATCTGTCTCAACCGATATTTCTGTTAGCTATGGATGAAGTTCCTATCTTAAGAGGAAGCAAAAATAAATTCCCCAAGAAAAGCTCGTCATGAAAATGTCACTACTCATCTGACTGTCAACCTCGCGCCCCCTTAGAATAGTCAGACGAATCAAATGAAATGTCAATATCTGACGGGAAGGTCAGGGCTATAACCCTACCAGATTGGATGATTCGTCATTTTTGAGCAGGGGATGCAAGCTTCTCTGGTAAAATTGCTAGTTTACTCGTTCACTTGTCAAACGGATAACCGTTCTGCAACTGTTCGAGTCGTAGCGAAAGGTTATTTTCAATAATCTTCAAAGGAGCTTAAAGCAAGGCCCTCTGAGTGAATATCATTACTACAAAAGATTTGAATGCTGAAGGAAGAGTCTAGCTTGATTGTCGTTGAGGCTATCCGTAATTGAGCTCTGAGGCATTGCGAATCAATGATATGAGAAGCTCGTATTCAAACGAGTATTGGTGGCCAATTCTCCTCTGACTGATTACAATTGTTAGTAAATTTGAAATCAAAGGCACATCACGCGTTCTGCTGCCAATGTTCACTAAAACTGTTGTATCAATTGCCAGTGCCCGTTGCTTTCTAGGGAGACGTCTCGGCTCGCAAAAGGACAGTAAGTCTTGATGCTATGCATCCTACTCAACCCCTAAACCGCACGACCCGAGCCTTCGTCAGTCAAGATCTAGGAACATTTACATATCTTCTTCTACGATCACTTGTTGCGCTTAGTCACTGAATTTGTCAATTGACAGTAGAGGATTTATGAATTGAATGATGATGACTGTTTTGAGACACGACAGGAATTATCTCGACAGGCTTACTAGCGCATGCGACATTCAGAGCACTGAACTTATGTGCTTCGGAGCTTCCCGGATGCCTGTAATTCACTAGATGCCATCGTAACTAAGGTAGACAAGTTTAACAATATAAACAAGTAAATTTCACATCTTCATGTCCACAACTTGCCGTCTATGGGATGAATTTGTGATCACGATTTGCACTCTAATCCTTTGAGACATACAACTAAGATTCCGGCCTTGAATATCATGACTGATGTAAAGAAGGAAAATCTGATAGAATAGGGTCGGACTTCTAATGCGAGCCGTTGAGTCAGAGAACGAACGCTCTTGTGAGTGGACATGAATGTGATCATACATGATCGGGCAGGTGTCCATGAGACCTAAAATAACATGACGCATCTAAGTTCTTCATTCCCGCCCAGCATGACAGAATTTTATTTTTCGAGGGCTTCTTGGCTTCTATAGATCTACCAACGACGACTCCTTATTGAGGATGAGGCTTCTCACTCAAACTGCAAACTGTCCAAACAGGAAAGAGCTGGAATCTTTGCCATGAATTTATCGCATTCCGTCGATGAACTCTGTTTCGAAGCGGAGGCCTACTATACAGAAGATGACCTCAAGGCAAAATCTGAGAAGTCTTTAGATTCGTGACGGAATACCAATTGCGTGCAATCTTTACTCGCTCGTTTGTGCCAGGAGGTCGGAAGAATTTCGGGGCCAATACCAAATGTTACTCCCATCACATGACCTTTAAATTTCCGCTTTACGCGACTTTTTATCCAGTCGCGGTCAACGCGTCTTCCCTCTATCATCTCCCATCTTTCAACAACACCACAACCTCAACATTTGCCCTCCACACGCTAAGAACATTAATCATGTGTAAGTTTCCGCGCGCATCACTCCAAAACTCAAAACTTACATGTACCTAGCAAACAGCCACGCATACCAAAATAATTATTCAACCACCAGTTACGGCGCACAAGGCGGGGCGGATGGTGGTGGATTTGTTCAAGGAGGATATGGTGGATCGCAGGGAGGAAGCCAAGAAAGTCCTGGAGGATCAAAGGTCTGTCTTGCTATTTATAAAGCCATATAATTATACTAATGAGATATTTAGACCTATGGTAAAGATACATTGCGACCAGTAACGATCAAGCAAATCCTCGAGGCCGTGCAACCACATCCCGATGCAGATTTCAAAATTGATGGATCGGAAGTAACTCAAGTAGGCACACTTTCTCCTACTCAACCATGCATTGCTACCATCGATCGCCGAACTAATATACTGACTTCTTAACCATTAGCTCTCATTCGTCGGCCAAGTCCACTCTATCTCCACCCAAGCCACAAACAACACCTACAAAGTCGACGACGGCACCGGGCTCATCGAAGTAAAACAATGGATCGACAACGACGCTGCTCCCGAAAACGCAAGACCCGTGCCGGAAGAAGGAAAATACATACACGTATGGGGAAGACTCAAGTCCTTCCATGACAAACGTCATGTAGGAGCTCATATTATCCGACCCGTTGTTGATATGAACGAAGTGACATTCCATGGATTAGAAGCTACCTTGGCACATTTATATTTCACTCGTGGTCCTATCGATACAGCGGGTGCTATGACAAAGAAAGAAGGAGGCGATGGAATGTTTGTTGATTCGTATGGTGGGAATAATATGGGAGCTGGAGATGCGTCTACAGGTGGTGGTAAAATATTACCCGCGAAAGTATCTCGCAATTCCAGAATAGTATTCGATCTATTACAATCAGAGCCTCAAAACAACGAGGGTTTGAATGTGAATATGATTGCGACCAAGCTTGGTATGCCAGTTGCAGAGGTCTACAAGTGCGGAGATGAGTTATTGGCGGAGGGTTGTATCTACACAACGGTTGATGATGAGACGTGGGCTGTGTTGGAGTACTAGAGGATGGGAGATTACAGCATCAATGGCGTTGTAGGATGGGATTATGGCATCTATGTAAAAGTAATGGCTGCATATGAATGAAGTATGATTCTATGGGAAGAGATACCAAATAAGATTCTTGAATGGCTAGAATTAGGTGAAAACAAATGGTGATATTGTTGTATAATCTAATATTAGAGTAGATAATAATTAAGACTAAAGCCTGTTTGATTGCCTGAGAAGGTGCGGATTTGTCATTGGGGAGATCCTACCTAAAACCATATCCAATCAAACATAAATCTTCAAGAACAATCATGGAAACTAGAAATCGTCAATTTGATAAGGAAATCGATACTGAAAACAGAACTCAAATCGCAATTACACCAATCGCTCAATCATCTCAACTTCCACACCCTCCTTTCCCTCGGTAGTCTCTCCTACAAACTTCGGCTCTCTGACCATAATCTGCATCTTAACTGGCTTGACCCCTCTTTCCATCACAATATCCTGCTTCCACTCGAATCCCAACTTACGATAGTAGCTCAAATTTCTCTCCGCACTAGACTCCAGATACGTAGGGCAGTTTTCACGGTCCGCTCGATCAGTCATATGCTGTATTAGTTTCTTCGCGTATCCTTTTCCTCGAGCGCAAGGTTTACTACCGAGATAGACGAGATAGTAAAAATTGTTGTTACGCTCGCCCATGACGTCGTCGATGGTATGGTGGAGGAGTGGCAGAAATTCATCAAAGAAACGTTTGCGGCCTTCGACGGAGAGCTTGAAGTAGAGTTTCCAGAGACCGCTGCGAAAAAAGGTAAGCCAATCATCCATATTTTGACCGGGAGACATCCTGTTGGTTTATTAATTCGTTATTCAGAAAACGTGGATCCTCAGTAGACGTACCATAGAGCGACGGCATCATAGTTTGGACCAATGGTAGTTACTATGCCTTTGTAGCAATGAGCAGCGGTCATGTACTTGATTATGTCACAATGAAGTTTCCATTTGTAGTCCTCGGAATAAGAAGTCATGTCATCGGTATCAAGGAAGTATCTTGCTACTTCGTCTGTAGCGAAAGCTTGAGCAAGACACTGAGCCGCTCCCTCGCACTCCGAGATGCTTACTATACGAACCTCCTCCGTTGTAGCCGGGGAAACGCTGCGCTTCTTCTCAAGAAAATTCATGGTCGCACTAATATCCTCAATAACATACGCCATGATTGCGAATTATCTATGATATATCTTGAGATGTTGGAATAATTCTGCAGATTTGACAAGTTAACATGGTATTGGGAGACATTTGGGAAGATCGAGAACGAACAAGAATCCGGTTTATTAGCTGGCCTATTTAAATCGCCTG